TGTGTGTGTGTGTGTGTGTGTGGGTCACTTATGTAGGAAAATATAAATCAGTCTCTTAGATCTGAGGTAATATTTGGACACAATGTAGAATTGTGGCTGAGATCTTCATATTACTCTCTCTTTTTTTTTTTTCTTTACTGGATAGAAAAAGAAAACAACTTTGGGAGGGTCACAGTGTCTTTAAATGTAAAATATCTCCAAATTATTTTTATTTTCTTCAAATTATAAATTAAATTGAAATGTGTATTAGAATATTAGACTGCCACCCCATTTTTGCCAACATGTGTTTATCCATGGGATACAGAGAACGAAATTGATGATGCTTTTCTCAATTCAGAATTCATTTTCTTTTTGTCTTTCATGCACTCTAGCCAGATGAGTGGGCAGTTATTTTGAAGGTTGACAATCTGCTCCAAGTTTTGGAAAACAGACAAATCCCCCAAGAAAAATACAAAAAGATTTGCCATCCTAGTTCAGAGTACAGAGAATATGTGGGCTTTAGTAATAAAACAACACTTGAGGGGGGAAAAATCTTGGCACTGTTGTTTATTGATGTTGTAATCTTGGGGAGTGGACACCTCCCCCAGCTGTGCTGGTGATTAAGGAGAACATTGGGCACTTAGCTTGGTGCCTGACAAATTTCAAGAGCTCTCAATCAGTAGTATGTCCCACGACCTGTCCCTTCTTCTTCTCCACTGCTCATGCTTGTTCCTTTATTGTTCCAACTATTTTTTTCTATTCCGAAACAAATAGACAGCTGACAGACTACCCTGACTTCTGATAATTATGGAATCTGGGGGTACCATACGCACATCCTGTTTCAGGGGCCCAGGAGTTAGTTGTTCATCAGTATTGGATGAACAGGAGCATCGTGGCTGTTGCTAAATGGAAGAACTGTTAGGTGACATGCTCCATCCATCCCATATACCTCCCCACAAAGCCATGTGCCATCACTGGAATCTGTTGACCTAGTTACGCCATCTCTAATTCTATTCCTGATAGCCTATAATTAGGATGGTCTGAAATAGCCTGAAAACACTCAGTGCCAGCATTTATCCCAAAAGGCAAGTCTCAAAACCTTCAATAAGGCCTTTTCTGAAATTGGCTTTTAAATCAACAGACTTGACAATGTTTCAACATGGAGAGAGATGGGAAAGGGGAACAGAAGAGATGAGGTCCCTAGAGAGAAGTCAGAACAGGAGAGGAGATGGCGTGGGGGAAGGGAAGGGAAGGAAAGGGAAGGGAAGGGAAAAGAGAGGAGAGAGAGAAGGAGAGGGACATAATTTCTCATTTGTGTTTGTTTCATCAAAATCTAGAGCCAGCTCTTGCCCGAATTCATTATCAGGTATCTCAGATCTGTGCAGAAAGGTCGGGAAAGTCAGCCCAAATAAAACAACCCCAATAAATAAATAAACCAAATATTTATATCAACACAGTTTCTGCTTTTGTGTCTGGGGCTAGTACGAACACAGAATCAGTTTGGAAAGAGCTAAGCATGAATATAACAGTATTTTCAATCCCAACTGTCCCCTTACCCTCCTCCCACCCCTACCCCCCCCACACACACAAAAGTGGAGCTTCAGAAATGCAACACCTATCAAATATTTCCTCAGAAATGCCAGATTGCTGGGATTTTAAAGAGTTCTACTTTTTTTTCCCCCTTCCCTTTTTGACATTTAGACAGATTGAGTTGGAGAGAGGAAGTGACTCTGAGTCCAGACTGCCCCACACCACTGTCAGAGGAAATAACTAAAGCAAAAATGAAGTGATAATATACTGTAGAATATTTAACAGAGAGAGTGAAGCCGGGAAAATGGCAATCTGAGAATAGACAACTTGTCCCCAAAATAAATGCCGTCTCCTGTCTTCCAGCAGATGCCAACTCCAGCAGATCGTCAAGTGGTAGAATTACCTTGCTCTGTGGGCTGTGTTGACACAGGAACACTTAGGCCCGGATAGTCAGGGGAGCTGGCTCTTTCTCCTCTGTTCTACCTTCATTTGTCACAGAGCCTGCCATCTTCCCTCTCTGTGTGTTCATCAGTGAGAGAGCTAGCAAGTGACCACCTTAATGCCTGCAGCGTGTTGTAGTGTGAGGCCTGACAGATAAAGGACAACCCTAGGCCCTGATGTCACAGCGTGAACGAAATAGGAACGTCCAAGGGAGGGTGTTAGCAAGGCTCTTTCCATCCTGGAGAAGACCCAAGGTGACTAGGGACATGGAGATTTCCTGCCCAAAGAAAGATTTGATAAATAGGGTGGTGAAGGCAAAACACAACCCCCTTCTGTGAGTTTAATGAGAAAACTAGGGCCTTCTGGGGAATGGAGGAAGAATGCTGACGCGGTGTCTTAGCATCGTGCAAAAGTCAAAACTTTGGCAAACAAGCTTTCTTCATCTGCTGAAAACTTCAGAGACAGGAGAGTCGCTTGGAAGGGGGAATTGTTTGAAAGAATCCCACCACTTCTTATTCAGGTATGAGTGGAGACAGGAGACTGAGGAAGGCCAGGCTGTCCTTTCCTCCATGTGGGTGATTGAAAGCCAGCAGTTTTCTTTGTTGGCAAATTTCCTCTTCATCTTCAGGCTGAGGCTTCGCCCTGGGTGACTGACTCTTCTACCCACAATGCATGAGACCATCACCAAGACTGAGGCTAGGGGAAGACTCCATCCTAGCTCTCTGTCTTCCCTATTTCTTCTCTCATTGTCTTCCCATTCTTTCTTCCTTCTATCCTTTCCTTTTCTCTTCATTTCCTCAGAGACAAGCCAAAATCAGGCTCCCGAGGTTTAAGAGGAGACCTTAGTTGGAAAAAATTACAAGTGACAGCCAACAGAACTCAGGGACAAGGTTTCCCTGGGATAACTATCTACTTAAGAACACACATACATGCAGTGAAAAGATTTTCATTGCAAAACAACAACTACAAAAAGGATTAAGCCTGATTTTTAGATGCAGAAAATGAAGTGACTTTAAACCCTGTGTCAAGTTTCTCCAGCTGTGTGGATGTCATCAATGAAATGATGACCATTATTTGTAGTAATGAGATACTGAGATGAGGGGACAGACTGGACTTGGAAGAATGGTTCACTTAAAGTTCCCCTTAAACATTTGCACTTCTATTTTTAATGGATTTTCCTTTTTTCTTTTTCTTTTTTTTTAAATTTAAATTAGAAACAAGCTTGTTTTACATGTCAATCCCAGGTCCCTCTCTCTCCTCTCCTCCCCTGCCCCCCCAATCCCTTATTTCATCCCCTTTCTGCTCCCCAGGGAGGGTGAAGACACATTCATCATTTTGTGATTTAAAACAAAATGACGAGAGTGTGCAGGATAGAGAGAAGACTCAGCTACTAAGGGCCCTTGCTGATCTTGTTGAGGACCCTGGTTCCCAGTACCCACAGGACAAGTCATAACCACTTATGACTTCAACCTTAGGGGATCTTACTCCCTCCCTTAGACCCTGGTGGTCCTGCTCTAACATGTAAATAAACACTCGCTCAGGCAAACACATATTCATATCAAGTAAATCTAAAATCTTTTCTGATGTTGACGAAAAGGCTTGATGGTTAAGAGCACTTGTTGCTCCTGCAGTGGCCTTGGGTTTGGTTCCCATGTCCCCAGTCAGTTAGCACACAACCACCTGTAATTCCAGCTCTAGGGCAGCCATCACCCTCTTCTGAACTTCCATGTTTCACACACACACACACACACACACACACACACACACACACACACAAAGAAATAAATAAAAAAAAAACCTCTCTAAAAAATAACAAGCAGACTTGCTTTGATAGCACATATATCCAAATTGGAACAATACAGAGAAGATTGCCATGGTCCCTGTGCAAGGATGACATGCAAATTTGTGAAGTGTTCCATATTTTAAAATAAAATAAAAAACAAGCTACCACAAATTTTCTCTCCCAAAAGGAAAAGTTTACAAACAACTTATCACATTATTTCTTAAAATGATGCTAGTTACATATTATTTAATGAGTTACATTTTCCTTCATAATCACAAGGATTTAAAATATTAATGAAAATTATTTAACATATACACTTAAACTTTCATATAAAATATTTATGATGTAATAATTCAATATCAAAAACATGATTTGAATTTATCTTTTATAGATGGGCATATTGGTAAGCTCAAATGAACTTTTAGTATGAAACAGCCACTTTATTAGAAGTTAAGTTCAACATTGGAAACTTTAAGACTCATTGATCATTTAATGAAACTACTTTTAACACTTTAGTTTATATTTTCCTCTCCTATTTGAACTCGTAAATTCATCATTTTAAATGTTTTACTTTTAATTATGGTGCTTGCATAATTTATCAATGGTAATTATAGATCCCCATTACTTAATATCTATAAGGTTCTAGATAATGTTTTCTATATTTAATTCTTAATTTAACTATCAAATGTGGATTCCACATTCAAACGTTCTAAAAATGGGATAACCCTGGGCGCAGCCAAGGCTGAACTTGAACTCCAGTTTGCATCTCTTTAATTCTGACCTTCCAACATGAGAATGTTTAGCCTTAATATATATATGGTATGTATGGCATAGCACCTTCATGCGTTTTTGACTGTAAGTAGATAAAAATATTCCAAAGACAGGCTCCAACACAAAAGAGCACTAACATGGGAAACTGTAATTTTTAAATTAAAAATCCAAGTTAATCTTTTCTCTTTTCCTTTTTTTATTTTATTTATTTTGCTAATGGAAATAATTCTGATTTGTGCCAGGGGATGCCCAGTGGTGAAAACAGACACTGTTTGCTTTGAGAGCCTTAGTTTTGTTATTGGTTCTACGTCTTACATATTGTTATGATTTTCATTTTGATGAGGTTGTAAGATCTTGCCATGGTCTTCCCTTGTCCTCTGTTCTTGGACATTAACTGTATATGAAAATAGAACAATTTTCCCATACAAAGGCCAGGGATGGGACAGGACAGGCTGACTGACAGTCTCAATTACTCTACTTCTGCATGATACATGGGGCACTGTTTGAACCTGTAGCAATTTTCTGCCATAAGGAGTATCAAAGGCATAGTCCATGGATGAGAGAAAGGATAGCAGTTCCTGCGATTACCCTGGCAATTGCCCATCTGCTTCAGAAGGCAGTGTTTACCCTGCAGGGAACCACAGGGAAATAGTTTGATGATGTGTGTTAAGTTTTTAATTTTTTTCCTGGGTGGGGGCAGAGTGGGCATGGGAGTGGTTAACGATGAGGACTTACTACCTCCATGGCATCACAGGAACATCCAGAACAATTTTGAGCATTTTCTCACGAAACAAACAGGAGAACGGTGCCATTCAATGAAATGAATTAAATACAGACGAATTAAAATACAGACTCCAAACTCTAGCATGGAGTGACATCAGAGTTAGTGTTCATCCATTCATTTCAACATCAATGAGTCACCATCAATACAAACAGATTCATTTGGAAATTTTTACTTATGCTATTTTATAGTTTATTTACAAGCTACCTTGTTTTATTCATAAGTTTTATGCCTTTTGAACTTGTGTATTTCTCTGGGTTACACTAAAAGCCTATGCAGATTGAAAAGAGAAGAATGATATTGCCAATTAGGTGTCTCCCTTCTTTTTTTTCTCTCCATTTTTTATTTAAATTAGAAACGACATTATTTTACACGTCAATCCCAGTTCCCTCTGCCCCCCTCCTCCTCTGCCTCCCCCACCTCATACCCTTCCCATCCCATACCCTTTCTGCTCCGCAGGGAGGGTAGGGCTTCCATAGGGGGTCTTCGGAGTCTGTCCTATTCTTTTGGATAGGGCCTAGGTCCACCCCCTTGTGTCTAGGCTCAGAGAGTATCCTCTATGTGGAATGGGCTCCCAAAGTCTATTCCTATGCTACGGACAAGTACTGATCTACTACAAAAGGCCCCATAGATTTCCAAGGTCTCCTCACTGACATCCACATTCAGGGAGTCTGGATCAGTCCCATGCTGGTTTCCCAGCTATCAGTCTGGGAACCAAGAGTCCCCCCTGTTCAGGTCAGCTGTTTCTGTGGATTTCACCAGCCTAGTCTGGACCCCTTTGCTCATTACTCGTCCTTCTCTGCAACTGGTTTCCAATTTGGTTCAGTGTTTAGCTTTGGGTGTCTGCTTCCATTTCCACCAGCTGCTGGATGAAGGCTATATGATGGCATATAAATCAGTCATCATTCTCATTATCAGGGGAAGACATTTAAGGTACCCTCTTATCTGTTGCTTAGATTGTTGGTTGGTGTCATCATTGTAGATCTACAGACATTTCCCTAGGGCCTGATTTCTCTTTAAACCTATAATGGCTCCCTGTATTATGGTATCTCTTATCTTGCTCTCCTCTATTCTTCCCCCAACTCAAACTTCCTGCTCCCTCATGTCCTCCTCACCCCTCCTCTTTTCCCCTTCTCATTCTCCTACTCCCTCTCCCCTCCCCCATGCTCCCAATTTGCTCAGGAGATCTTGTCCCTTTCCCCTTCTCTGGGGGGACCATGTATGTCTCTCTTAGAGTCCTCCTTGTTTCCTAAGTTCTCTGGCAGTGTGATCAGACAGAGGGCTGATCTCCAAAATTTACAAAGAACTCAAAGGGCTAGTCTCCAAAACACCAAATGATCCAATTAAAAAGTGGGGTACAGAGCTAAATAGACAATTCTCAATGGAGGAATCTAAAATGACTGAAAGACACATAAGAAAGTGTTCAATATCCTTAGCCACCAGGGAAATGCAAATCAAAACAACTCTAAGATACTATCTTAGTCCTGTCAGAATGGCTAAAATCAGAAACACCAATGACAGTTTAA